CTTCATTGTGACAGTTCAAAGACTTTGAATTCTTAGCTCTTGTTTTATGTCTCCATGTGATTTAAGCAGTCTCATCATTTCTTATTTGGTTTAAAGTTAAGAAAAACAGTGGCTGTGCACTTGAAAACAATATTGGTTTTTAACATCCTGGTGGACTCTAGAGCAGGAAGGGTACAGCTTCCAAGTCATCTGCTGGCTGGAAACGACTGACTGGATTTAGAAAATGCTTTCTTATCATTGGCAATAAGGATTATCTGGCATTTCCTAATAATTCTTACTATTCTTTATTGACTGCCTGTTCTCCCCTATATTTTGTATATGACCCCTTGCTGTCTGCTATCAAGAGGCACAATCACTTTCTTATATGGACAAAGGCTCTCTAGCTAGCCACTCCAATGAAAACAATGGCCCTGATTTCAGACACAATGAGCCACGGTTTTTCTTTTAAACGTGTGTTGTAACTTCACAGTTGGCAGACACCAACGTACTATGCAAACAACATAGAGTAAAGAGATCTGCAACCAATGCATTTAACTGTATGTTGATTATGTCTGTTCCCAGTTATCAATATTATAATTTATGGAAATCTTATAAGCAAGCATCTTCTTTGCTTTTTGCTGTTTAAAAAAGAAAAGCAGCACCATTTTTCCTCAGCAGCGTGTTCTGAAATACAGATGGTGGCAATTACTTCTCATATAGCAAAATTAGCCAAATTCAGAGGAAAATTGGAGACTTTTCACAATTATTTATATTTTTAATCAGAGTTATATCAGCCTTGCATAAAAAAATATACCTCCTCAATTGGGACTTGACCCAGCAGTCCTTCAAGTCAATGAGAGTTGGAGCAGGTCTCTGGAAAGCAATTTTTTTCAAGAGCTCATAAAGTGGTATCTTAAGAGTGGGAAGTAGATTTTGTGCCTAAGTTGGTAAACTTAACTTTAAAGTTTTGGCACAAGATTTACAGATGATAAAGGTATTACATCAGTAAATATTTTGTGGCATCTGAAATTCTATTGTAGAGTCCAATATCATATGTTTACACTACAGCACTAATTTGAACTAACTTAATTCGAATTAGTTAATTCAAACTAATCTAATTCGAACTAGTGCATCAAGACGTAAAAACTAATTTGAATTAGCATTTTGCTAATTCGAACTAGCATGTCCACATTGAGTGGACCCTGAACCGAAGTTAAGGCTGGCCGGAACGAGTGCCAGCAGGGCATCAGGTTAGGACTTAGAGTATGGAGCTGCTGCCTCAGGCTATCCAAGGGCTGTGCTTAAAGAGACCCAACCCCCACCCCGGACAGACAGTTCTCAGGGTTCCCCGCTTGCTTGTGTAACTTGATGAGGGACAGCAAAGCAGTCCTGACTTGAAGTGCCCTGAGTGCCCACACTCGGCACAACACAGCACTTGGCCATCAGCCCGTCTGCACTTGCCGCAGGCTGCCATCCGGGAGGGTCAATCGGGGGGCTGTCAGAATCCAGGAGGCCCTGCAGGAGAGCTTCCACCCTGAGGAGCCCACAGAGCCACCCCAGTCCTCCCCATCGGGGGCTCGTGCCCCATTCCTCCCTCACCTCCTTCCACTTATGCCTCCTTAGCCCCCCCTTCCTGATGTAAAAAATAAAGGACACGTGTGTTCAAAAATAGAAACTCTCTTTATTTAATAAAACTGGGGGCGGGGGAGATTAATCTCTGGGGAGACTGGGGAAAGGAGGTGGGAGAGGGGAAGAGAGAGGGGGGGAGAGGGGAGGGGGAAACCTGGGAGGAGGGAGCTGGAAGAGGGAAGCCAGGGGAAGAAGAAGGAGGGGAAGTATAAAACTATGGTACGCCATATCTTTAGTACTATGTACAGATGTGGTCTCCTCACCTCAAAAAAGATGTTTTGGCCTTGGAAAGGGTTCAGAAAAGGACAACTAAAATGATCAGGGGTTTGGAACAGGTCCCATATGAAGAGGGGCTAAAGAGACTGGGACTTTTCAGCTTAGAAAAGAGGACACTGAGGGGGGATATGATAGTCTATAAAATCATTAGTGGTGTGGAGAGGGTGCATAAAGAAAAGTTCTTCATTAGTTTCCATAATAGAAGGACTAGAGGACACCAAATGAAATGAATGGGTAGCAGGCTTCAAACTAATAACAGAAAGTTGTTCTTCACAAAGCAAATAGTCAACCTGTGGAACTCCTTGCCGCAGGAGGCTGTGAAGGCTAGAACAATAACAGAGTTTAAAGAGAAGTTAGATAAAGTCATGGAGGTTGGGTCCATGGAGTGCTATTAGCCATGGGGTATGAATGGTATCCCTTGCCTCTGTTTGTGGAAGGCTGGAAATGGATGGCACGAGACAAATGGCTTGGTCATTGTCTTCGGTCTATCCCCTCCATGGTACCTAGTGTGGGCCGCTGTCAGCAGAGCAAGCTACTGGGCTAGATGGACCTTTGGTCTGATCCAGTACGGCCATTCTAAGCTCAGGGCTCAGAGTCGGGGGTCTCACTGGACCACC